GATTTTTTAGAAACATGAAATAAAATATATCTATGAAGGGCCGTAGCTAACTCATTTTGGCTGGAGGTACAATCTCAGGCGCTGTTAATGTTTGCATTCTGGGCGGCAGACCGATGGCAGTTCGCCGTTTGTTCCGGTGCGTACGTAGTATGTACATAGCTTATAATACCGAGGCCTGGTTATCTATCAACCCTTGCTGTTAGTCTAAGGGTGTGTGGGGTGGGTCGGTGTCAGAAAGCCGCCGTGAACTAACACTGGTCACTAGAATACTAGGTGATGTGACTTACGCGTACCAGGTCTGGCGATGGAGACCAAGGACTCTGGCCTTTTTTTTATCAAAGCGTAAACGAAAATAATCGATATATATATACTGGTAAATGTAGCACACCCCGCCAATAGGCTGTATCCAGAAGTTATCACACCCGCTCCCTGCTTGCCGCTTTCCAATTCGCGTATATTTTCTGAAAAAAAACGAGAATATACTTGCAATGTTTGCGACGAACAAAATCCAAATGTCCGAATCGGTTTGCACGCGTGTCTTAAAAAATGTATGTCACGTCCCTCAGTCCACTCACCACACTGTTATCAAGAGCTCATAATAGAGATATCTCTATTATGAGCTCTTGCTGTTATGTAATTGGCACATATATACCTTCACCACAGTCTCGGGCGCCATTCTAATGAGTTAAACATTCAATGAGACATTCTCAGTGTGCATGCCTGCTATGTAAGCCACTCTGACTCTTATTGCGTAGCACATAATGAATCTGACAAGTAAGCAGACGACCAAGGTTTCGAAAATAATTATCCAAATTGGGGGTGAAATTCTTGTTCCTCATCATAGATGGTTGCTATAGTTATATAGTAATAATAGTAGCGTTTCATCATTTGTAGACATCACATCACATAGCTGTATCACTGCCATTGCACCACTGCATTATGTATGTATAAATTGTTTTAATTCAATTAATGTCATGATAATGATGATGATGCTGATGCTGATGATGATGATGATGATGATGATGATAATTATAACAATAATAATAATAATAATAAAAACACATTTATTGTTCTTAAAATGCTGCACATAAGCAGTAGTAAAAGTACAATTAGTCTCGTACATGATAACAACTAGTGCTATTAGGGAAATATATTACGTATATAGCTATTACTCTCACAATTCCACCTGAGAAAACAATTTTTACTCTACATTTCCATTCTATAATAGAAACGCATACGAGCACACATGTGACCTAGTGTTGCAAAACACTACAATTTTGACTCAGGGGTTAAACAATATGTTACAGAACTACTGCACTGAACATTTTGACACTTTTTCACAATGAGTAACAGTGGTACAAGAGTTATCGAATTAGAACTGATACTATAGAGGCAATAGAATCTGTAACCAAAGCAATAATTAAGTAAGAATAGGAATAATGTTGAGTTATGCCATTCCATATACATGTCAAGGATCCCAAATTTTACAACGCACAACAGGTGGCGCTGGTAGCTTACCAAAAAAACAACACTTCATGGGGAAAACTAGATAGAATGTTGGTGATATAATAGATATACACCTTTTCTGACATTACATTAGTCTACAACAATTTAGTATAGTACATCAACATTTCAAATAACACCACTTTATTATATATGAAAAATTATTAAAAAACTGTCACTATGCCATTTTTCCCAAAACGATTGAGACAATTATGTTTTGTTACTCACAGGTCTGAAATAATAACAATTCAAATATAACATAGCATACTTTCTAATAGCATTTTTTACCACATACAGAATATAATTAGGAGAATTGTTTCTTTTTTTATGTGGCAAAAACATTGCAGCATTAGCGATTGAAAAGAAATCGGCCGTGAAGGCACGAAGAACTAAATTTCCTTATCCAGTTTATCACTAACCCTATAGCTCAGTGCTGTTAAGTGATAAGCTCATTGAAGCCAATTTGCCTATGTTGTAGATATGCGTCCCACAGTGACAGTCCAGGCCTCCACTACACACATCGGAGTAGTGGCAGTGGATCTGTGTCCTGTAGTGACCCTCTAGGCCTCCCCATTCATGCATAGATATAATAATAAACTGCTAGCACTCCCTATGTCTCGGCTACTCATCACACAAGATGTACAACAGTTGTTAACTTCAGCATCTTCTTGCCATCCTACATTCTTCTTCTCTTGTCGTCCAATTGTCCGTGACTGGTCACCCATTCTGGCTCGCACACAACTACAAAGATATCAGAAATTACAGCATGAGCACATCACGCTTCTCTGAAGGCATTGCTTTGGTCGTGATTAGCCATCTTTGGAGAAGTTTGTTCATGTGCGGAGATACCTCCAGACTTGGCATCATCATGATTCTTGACCTCTTCGTGTTGTTGAATGTGCTTAGCCAACTCATCGTCAATGACCAAACTGATCAACTCTTCACTCGATAGAGCAGTTTTCTCAGGATATAATTTACGCTCGAGGTAAGAAACGGCCGTTTCCTTGTCAGGATTAGAAACGAACACGTATGAGATGTCATTGCCACTAACAATTCCTCTCATGAGATCATCCTTCGCTTCACTTAATATTTTTAGCATAGATCTTGCCGTGGGTTCCTCTTGCTTTCCAGCTACTCGTTTTAGCTTGGCCTCTGAAACATAAAATAATGGCATCAGTGACATGCATACCACATAGTAGTGGCATACCTCCCTTATTTACCAAAGTGTAGTTGTTAACTTCAGCATCTTCTTGCCATCCTACATTTTTCTTCTCTTGTCGTCCAATTGTCCGTGACTGGTCACCCATTCTGGCTCGCACACAACTACAAAGATATCAGAAATTACAGCATGAGCACATCACGCTTCTCTGAAGGCATTGCTTTGGTCGTGATTAGCCATCTTTGGAGAAGTTTGTTCATGTGCGGAGATACCTCCAGACTTGGCATCATCATGATTCTTGACCTCTTCGTGTTGTTGAATGTGCTTAGCCAACTCATCGTCAATGACCAAACTGATCAACTCTTCACTCGATAGAGCAGTTTTCTCAGGATATAATTTACGCTCGAGGTAAGAAACGGCCGTTTCCTTGTCAGGATTAGAAACGAACACGTATGAGATGTCATTGCCACTAACAATTCCTCTCATGAGATCATCCTTCGCTTCACTTAATATTTTTAGCATAGATCTTGCCGTGGGTTCCTCTTGCTTTCCAGCTACTCGTTTTAGCTTGGCCTCTGAAACATAAAATAATGGCATCAGTGACATGCATACCACATAGTAGTGGCATACCTCCCTTATTTACCAAAGTGTAGTGTGTGTACTTCTGTTTACAACAACACAGTCAACAGTGCGGCAGTAAATAAGTTTATGTAGCCTTGCGCAGTGCAACTTGTACCTAATCTGTCAATGTGCTCTTTGGATGGCGTAATACGATCTTGTTGTGTCTGTGGTATATCAACAAAGTTGTCCGAAAACTCGTAACTACAATCATCGTCTGTATCTGCTTCTATTCCACAAGGAAAAGTAGTCGCTGGCAACGGGGGTGACATCTTGCTCGGGTTCTTAGGATTTTTGGACTCCTGCTGCCACCTCTCGCATAATAAGAATAATATAAATAAGTGAACGTTGTTTTTTCTGTTTCGCATGGATGAACGTGGAGCGGTGGCAGTGATGAAAGCGACATGGTGAGCAGAGAAAGGTTATTACTCCAGGAAGCTTCTGATTATAATTTGCGTGTGTTTGCGTATGTTTGCAGCGGACAAGAAGTTACGGTTGTGAGTCACAGCGTGTCCTAGTTTGACGTACACCGATGCGCCAAATTGCCAACAGACACCGAACAAATTCTTAGCTCAAAACACAACTTCACAAGTCACAACAACGTGAACGCAGCTTTCCAAGCATACACCATCAATATTACTACTAGCTATTTCGATAACCTTCGCACAGTTATCTCCTGCACCGCGTTATCATGGTCGACGTCACACACTGATACAGCGCAATACCTCGCCGCCGCGACACTCGCTCTTCCGCGACGGAGCCGCGATGAGATCGGATCGCGCGCCGACGTCCAGCTAGTTTCCCGTCGCCGCGGTCATGGAAGCGAGTGAGGGCGGAGAGCCGCCGCGCGCCGGCAAGGTGCAGCGCGTCTGCGAGCAGTGGCTCGTGCACGAGGACTACGGACTCGCCTACGAGCTGCAGAGCCAGGAGTTCCGGCAGCACTACGGCCAGAACCGCGAGACGCGGCGGACGGTGTCCGACGACATCCGCGTTGCGCGCCGCGAGCAGACGACCGAGGAGGAGGAGGCGACGCGAGCGCTTATCGAGGAGCAGCTGCAGCTGCTGGAGAGGGAGGAGGAGGACGAGAGGGTCGCGTGGGCGCTGCAGGAGGAGCTTGCACGCGAGGAGGAGGGCCGGCGGCGCGCAATTGAGGACAACGATGCCGCTCTCGCTCGCCGCTTGCAGGACGACGAGCGGCGGCGGCGCCACCTGGCGGACGAGAACGAGGCGCGGACGCTGCGGCGGCGCGCGCGGCGCGAACAGCTGCGCGCCGACCTCGAGCGCGTTGCCGGCGGCGACGATCCCGACGAGCCAATCGCGCGGCCCGACGAGGCGCGCGTCGCCGTCGACGAGCCAATCGTGCGGCTGCGCGACGCCGACGAACTCAGCGAGCTGTTGGACCGCGTCGACGTGTCGTCGCCGCCTGCCGACACAGGCCCCCTCTCTTTCGAGGAGCGCGACGCGATGTTTGCGCGGCAGCTTCAGGAGCGGGAACGGCGGCGGGCGTCGCGGCGACGCCAGCACGAGGACGACGACTTTGAGATGGCGCGCGCGCTGCAGGAGAAGGAGGTGCAGAAGGCGAGACGACGCACGGAGAGGCGCGCGCAGGAACGCGCGGCGGGAGAGGCGGCCCACGACGATCCCCCGGACGATCGCGCAGCCCCGGACCGCTCCGAGCCGCACGCCGTCGACGCCCCACGGGAGCCCCACCACGCGGAACCCGTCCGGGAACCTTCCGGGAACGCGAGCCCGCGACTCAGCTCGGCAGCCGCGCTCGTCGACGCTCCATCAGGTGGCGCCCACGCGTCCCCGGAGGCGACGCTTAAGACAGGGCAGGTGAACATCGCTGCGGCGATCGACCCGACGTTCAGACGCAGCATGGAGACGGCGGAGCGCCAGAGGGTGGCGCCACCTGTGCCGCCTCCCAACTCCGGCGTGTCGGCGACGCAGGCGGACGACGCGAGCGACCAGCAGGCGAGAAACGCCGGTGCTGCCCCCTACATGCCGATGTCGGGGTCGAGACGTCCCGGGTCGCTCGAGAGGGGAGGCGCGCAATATCCGGATAACCAGAAGCAGCGTGATAGCTGCAAACAGCAATAAGGCTACGATGCGCGAGCATGCGTGTGCGTGTGCGTGTGCGTATGCGCGTGCGCACGTGTGTGCATCAGTCCATCGTATGATGTGTGTTTGTCTGTCACTCCGTCCGTCTGTCCGTTCATTCGTTCGTTCGTTGTGTGTGTGTTTGTGTCTGTGTGTGTGTGTGTGTGTGTGTGTGTGTGTGTGTGTGTGTGTGTGTGTGTGTGTGTGTGTGT